AGGAAATTGCTCTTGCGTGCCGCCACGTTCGCCTTGTGGTGACAGAGTGCTCTTGCATTCCAAGTGGCGAAGGTGAGCCCCTTGCTCATCGGGGCGGCAAAGAGCTTGACGAACGTGCTAGAGACACCAATCATCATCACCAGGAGCCAAGGCTGCCTCGACCGTCGGTGCCAGGTCCTCCCGTCGCAGCCCGAGTGCCGTGAGCGCAGACGGGGACCAGGCCACCGCTGGGGTAGAGTTGGGGCCGTCGATGGAGAGGCGGAGGAAGGACTTCCACTGGGACGAGAGGGAGAACTTCTGTTTATCGATGTAGATGCGGTGCCCGTCGCCGATGACACGCCCCAGCGCGATGGCGAGCTTCTTGAGCGCGAGCTCGTGCATGACCTGCTTGCGGTTCTGGTCGGGCGCCACGAAGACGTCCACATCGTGGCCAGCAGGCGTCGTGGCGCGCGGCTTGCGCCACTCACCACGGCCAAGGCGCATGCACCCCAGCACTTTGGCAGCCCGTCTGGCCCCGAGCTCGGGGGGGCCCTTGAAGCGGAAGACGCAGCGCTTGCCGAGGGGCTCCGCCTCCACCACGAACGAGTCAGGACCCGTGCCAGCGTCCGCGAGGAGGGGGTCGATGACCTGCTTGAAGGTCGCCGCGGGAAGCTCCTCCTTGCACCGTACAACCACGGCAGAAAGGTCTGGAGGGCGATCCCAGTCAGGGCCAGCAGGGGCAGCACAGGGCTCCACTCTCGCCGTGATGCCCATCTGCTCGCGGAGCTGCGCGATGTCCGCCCGCAGCTGCCTCTCGATGTCGATCTGCTTCTGCTCAACCCCATGGAGGCGCCCTTCGACGACGCCGACGCGCGATTCCATGACTCCCTGTATCTGCGCCAGGCCCGCCGTGAGGGTGGCGTCGACGCTGGCAACGACCGCGGATGTGACCGCGGAGGTGATGGCGGCCTGCACTTGCTGGAGATGGGCGGCCTGGGCGGAGTTGGGCATGCCAGCATCCGCAGCGCCGCCAGCATCGCCAGACGCCGTCGCCGCAGGAGAGGCCGCATGAGCTGCCCCATGCCGCAGGTCACGCTGAGGAGCAGCATGGGCGGGAGGGTGGCCACGGCCCGGCCCCAGTGCCGCCGCGTGACCCGATGGGGCACCGCCGTTGCCCAGGTAGGTCCTCCACGGGTCACCACCGGCGCCAGCGTCAGGGCAGGTAGCGCCCCTGGCTCCCGCGTCAGCGCCCCTGGCGGCAGCTTCCCCGACCCCAGCCTCACCAGCGCCCTGCGATGGGAACGTGGCCAGCATGTCGAGGTCAATACCGTCTCTCTGCATCTCGAGGGCCGCATCAGCTGCCCGCTGGCGCCATCTCTCCTCGTTGGAGGGCTTCCTGTCGCCCTTTCCCCGACGGCCAAGAGGACCAGCGTGGCCAGCAGGAGGCGCAGCAGCACCAGGGCGCACCAGCCGTCCACGGTCCGCTGGGGGCGCCTTGCGGCGCTCGGACGCCCTCGAGTGGGACTTGGAAGAGCGCGCCCTTGAAGTCGAGCGGCCGCTGCAGCTGGGGGAGTCCCCCGAGTCCAGGCGATGCTTCTCGGGGCTCCCTGCACCAGGCATGGCTCCGCAGCTGGGCGCGATTGGGCCGACAGGAACGGGAAAGGCCTCCGTTTACCACCGACCCGAGCGCGAGGAAGGTGGACAGGGGACGATGCCAGACTTCAAGAAGTCTTGCCAGCCGCGGCCTAGCGGCATCCGCTTGGTTCCCAGAGGAAACCTGCATCTTGAGCCAAACTGGCTATGGAGGGAGGAGGCGAGGATGAGGGGGGGGGGGGGGGAGGAGGAGGAGGAGGAGGACGAGGAGTAGGAGAAGGAGGGGGAGGAGGAGGACGAGGAGGAGGAAGGAGGTGCCGCCGCGCGCGCTGCCTCAGCCAAGGCGCCTGCGCACGCGGCGGACCAAGGGCTTGAAGTCCATGGCCGTCCGCGCAAACTTCCGCCCGTCGTGCCCCATCACCTGGCACGGCCGCCGCGGCGGGACGCCGTTCGCGGCCTTCCAGTCCTTCAACACGGCCGCGACGGACGCGCCGTAGTGGACCTTGCGCGCGTCGCACGCGCGCTGAGAACTATACGGCGCGCGAGGCGCGCCAGACAACTATACGGCGCGCGAAGCGCGCCATGCATGTATACAGGTCCGCGCACATCCCTGCACCTGAACGTTGCCGAGGTGGTCGCCATGGATGGCGTCCTTGACCGTCGCCCACATCTGATGCGGCGGGTGAGGGTGAAGGTCCTCGTGCAACGTCAGGTTGACGTTCTTGACCGTGGAGTACCGCACGATCAGCCAGTAGCACTCTGGGCACACCACGCGCATACTCCACGATGTCCGCTACCTGATGGTGGTCAGGTACGATGCGTGCGCAATGTGTTGAGGGTCGCTCACCGTGCCCCTACCATGGTAAGCGGCGTACGTGTGCATGCATCTCGGCGAGCATGTCTCGCCACCCACTCCCATGCCCGTTGGGGATCTTGACTTGAGACGGCGGCGTGCCACAGCACTTGGGAAACGTTTAAAAACGTTCAGGTAGGTAGCCCCCTTGTCGTGGAGCGACACCTGGGGCTGAAGGAGCGGCCGCGCCGCCGTCTTCACGAATTGCCACTTGCCGACGTTGCTGTTCAAAGAGCTCAACTGGCACCTTGCGGCCTCAGCGCGCTACCGATCGATGGTCGGACACCCTGATGGCGAGAAACGCTCGCGTGTCACGCAGTGTGTATGGCGGCACTTGTACAGAACCCGCCCCAATCTGCTGCACATGGCGATCGATGCTCGCGCGCATCAGTGCGAGCACAGCTCGCAAGTGGAGTGCGACCTAAGGCGCTGACAATTGGCATCCAGCGCAGTCTCCGCGAACACCGCCCCGCTCTTGTGCCGCGTGATCCGAGGATCGAACAGCGTGACCGACGGGTCCTCGTCTATCGCGAGGAACGCGCACTCGGTGCAGACGAACGCGGCCATGGCGCGCGCGGGGGCGCGCGGCGCGGCGCAAACGTGGAAACGATCTGCAATCGCTGCGGCACGGGTCGGGGCGCGATCGACTCCGAGTTTTCGGAAGAGGTGAGAGGAGGAAGAGGATCAGGATGAGGCGGAGGAGGAGGGGAATGAGGAGGGGTGATGTTAACTGTGTCAGGTGATGGCGATGCACATGATCGCCTTTCAACCGAGCGCATGCGCAACCGCGCGGCTCGGTAAACGCCTAGGGGTCAACAAATTGACCAAACAGGTTGACCTGGCGCTTGGGGCGCGACGCCGGGGACGTCGCCACGGGCGACGCCGCGGGCGACGCCGAGGGCGTCGCCCTCGGGGGCGTCACCTCAGGTGACCACCCACTGTCGGGCATGCTCGGCTGCGGGTGAGCCTGAGCTGCCGACGCTGTCGCCTCAGGTGAACCCACCCTGTCGGCGCAAGCGTCGCTGCTGTGCTTGGTGTCGTAGATCATCTGCAAGTTCGCCTCCGTGAGGCGAGCGCCCTCGACGTATTTCTCCCAATCCTGTGGGTATGCCAACTGAACCTACATTGCAAGGGGAATATGAAGAAGAAAGGAGGGATGGGGTCAGCAGGAGATCTGCATGCGCGAGCATTGCTCTCGCGTACATGCGAATCTGGATGCCGCGCGGTCCTCGCAATGCGCTGGAGTCGCGTGGGACTCCTTGGGGCCTTCCGTGGTCATGTACTTCACGACCATGGACCAGATGATTCCACCTGTCGGCTGGGGCCGCTTGATCCACTTTACGTTCGGCGACACCAGCTCAACAGGCGGGTCGCCGTCGGCCTCGCGCTTGTAGCCGCGATATTGCACGTGAACATCTGGCAGATCAGGAAGTGCATCGCACCTCGCCAACCCAATCAAGAAGTCCGGCTTCGAGCTATGCTCGAATGGATCACGTGAGACGGTAGTCTGCCCACACCTAGCGAGTGAGGCTCGCTGCAGCAGGAGCGCTGCACAGTGTGAACCTTCTGTGGTCCAAAACGTATGGGGGTGGGGGCACGCGTGAGCATAATAATTGATGTTATCCTCGCTGAACTCTAGGTACAGCTTCTCGCCCTTGTTCGGCGTGGCCTTGACGAGCAGTTGGGTCGGTCCGAAGGACCGACCCATGCTGTTGAAGGACGGGTACGTGATCACCACACACGTCGGCACTCTGGCCGACAAGTAGAGCTTGCCCCGACGCCCCGCCGTCGCGATTGCCGACGGATCATCGGCCAGTGGGTCCTAGCGGAGGTACAGGTTGCGAGTATGCTCGCATACCGTATTAGATCGCGAGCGAAGCTCGCATGCACGAAAACATTTCGGAATGCAGCGACCTGCGGCTTGTTCTTCTCGACGTGGCTGTCCACTGCCGCATCGCGCAACGCCGTGAGCTGGAAACACCGCCCGGCGCCCTGCATCGGGCTGCCGCTGTGCATGTCATAGCCGAGGAACCTATAGCTGGCACGTCTGTGCGCATACATACGGCACGAACTACGCGCGACACGAACGACAACAAAAAAACAACAACAAAAAAACGGAACCGAGCAAACTCTCGGTTCTGTTGGTCTATGCGAACGAACCCCTTCTCTTCGATCGTCATCAAGTCGGGCAGCCACGGGTGCCACTGCTTCACGCCGCTGCCGCCGTAGACCGCCACGGTGTCGCGATGCACCCTCGCAGAGCGAGGGCCCTTCGGCGCCGTGGCGCCCACCGAGCCCGATCCGCCGCGAGCGCACGGCGCGCCGCACTGCTTCGCGGTGCTTGAGGAGCTCGCGCGGCGCACACCACACTCTGCTCACCACGTGCGTCGATCAAGTGCGTTGGGCTGCCTCGGCGAGCATTCTCGCCACATTGGCACTGATAGCTGTCGTGGCATGGAGGCGGATGGGAGGTGAAGAGAGCGAGTTTCGAGCGTCCACGCGCTTATAAGCAGTCGCATGGTCGATGTGAGACAGGGCGTCAGCACAGCTCATGCGCCCCGCCCCCTCCCTCGACCAGGGGCCTTGCCGCCCTTGCCGCCCCTGCCGCCCTTGCTGCCACCCTTGCTGCCCTTGCCGCCTTTGTCGCGGTTGGCGGCGCCGTCGCCGCTGCCGACTGCGCCACCCGCGCCGTCGCCACTGTCCTGGAGCGGACCCAGAATGAGCTGGCCCTCTTTGATGTCCTTCACGTTGGCCCACGTAGGGGAGCTCACTGCCTTGCCCATGATTGAAATTTCAGTCGAGCGAAGCTCGACGTTGTGGGCTCCCTCGTGGACCAGCTGTACATACCAGAATTGGGTCGACGAGAACTTTTCCTCGTCGAGGCGGTCACGCTGTTTCCTAAGCGTGGCCGCGTACGTGGCGCCGTCCAGTTCAAGCACGGACGGTAGCACGACGGATGCAACGAAGCCTCCGCCAACGGAGATTCGCATGCCGGGCGGGTTGCTCTTGTCGACGCTGGTCCTGTCATACGCTGCAACGATCTGCAGCTCGCCGATCCTGAAAGAGGTCTTCGCAATCAAGTTCACCCTGCTATTATCCTGGGCTATGCGGGTGGCGTGACGTCACTCCATCTGTCTGCGTCGCATGCAGAGCTCAGCTCGCATTGGGGCGGGATCGGGGGGCCCTATAAGCCGTGAGTGCGAGCGTCGCTCGCGAGTTTGCTACACCGCGGGGCCTCCTGCTGTCTGTGCGCCAACTTTCCCCCGCCGAAGATCTTGACGTCTTCGATGGCGGTGAGTGCGACACGCAGGCGCGCCCTCGCGTCCTCGGTCGCCGCACCCTTATTCCCACGCCGAAACTTGTCGAGCTGCGCGCAATCGACAACCTGGCACGCACGCATCATACACATACTCGCCACCCCGCCCCCTCCCACCCACCAAACAACCACTGCCAAGACAATGCGACCCTGTCGGCGAGCAAAGCTCGAATTGTTGGGCCTATGCAACGAATTACAAAAACGAAACCTTGGGTTCGCTTTTCACGACCACAGTGTAGCCGTCGAGGACCTCGCTAATCTTCAGCATGATGACATCACCAGACGAACCACGTACGTGGACCGTCTGATCATCGATGGCGGTGATCACGTAGCTGGTCACCTCCGTATCTCTACGCTTGTCGACGGCGGCGATGGTTGCGCAAACCTCGAAACCCTTGGCCTGAAAAGTCAGCGGGTCGACGTCGCCACAGCCAGATAATGACACGGGCGCCATCCCCAAAGCCTTGCTGGGGGGCGCAAGCTTGGCCTTCTTCGGCGCACGGGTATCGACCTCATCGTCGCCGACGCCTGTCTCGTTGTCGAGCCGCAGCAACGGCACGTTGCGCACATGCAGCTCGTCGGCGTTCATGGCCTCCCAGAAGTCGGCCACCACGTCGACCATGGAGGTATACTGTTTGCGCCCTTCGCACGTCTTGCCCGACGCCTGGGCTTACTACGCGCGCGCGTGCGCAAGCGAGCATCGCTCGTCATCGGTCGCTTCCTGGCGAGCATCGTTCTCGCCCCCGCCCACCGCTTCCCAGCGAGCATCGCTCGCCGCCCCCCGCCCCAGTACCATCATGACCAGGCGGATGTCGAGCTGCGACAAGTGCTTAAGCCTGACGAGCTCGCTGGTGTGCGTGCAGGCCGTCGTGAACTGCCTGCGCGCATGCATGGCGTTGGCCGCTCGCACGGCCTTGCTCCTGTTCTCGCCGCCAGGGGGCATGGACTTGTAGTCAGATGCGTTCAAGAGCGTGCTCTCGCCGCCTGGCGTCGCCCACTTAGGGGGCGACGCCAGTTGCGCCTCGATCACCGCCAATATCCACAGCGGGCCCTCCGCGAACTGCAGCTGGCTGAGCGCCTGGAGACTGTCAGCCGCGATGGTGCGCTTTGTGCTGAGGGACCGCTCGAACTGCTCGAGGACGTCGAGCATGGCCCCCTCTTTCCCACCACTCCACGCTCTGACGAAAGCGATGTCCGCACTGTCCCGCCATGGCGGTGATGAGTCAGTCGTGCAAGGCACGCATCTTACTCGACCCCCCGCCCCCCACCCCCCTGTCGCACTCGTGCCTGCCATCCTGTGCCCTCGTCCCGAGGCGGCGAGTGCGCTCGCCATGGGCGGTGGCGATCGTGGCGTGAGCCGATTGTCTGGCACGGCAGCTCCCTCTCGAACTCGCTCGGCATGCCGAGCGCCGCGACGCGCTCCACCTTGGCCCAGTCGTCGGCGGTGTCGGGGCTCGTCTGCGCGCGAGCGATGAGCCACACCTTTTTTTCACACGCTGCACCGTCGTGGCAACGCGTGCCGCGCCGTGGTCCGCGTTGCCAGACAGCGCCAGGAGCTTCATGAGCTCGGGGCACCGCGTCACCAACAACGGGCTGATGACGCTGTTCCGCAAGCCGCGCTCGAGCGGCTCTTTGAACGGCGGCTGTCGCTCACATATGCGAGCCATCGGGATGCGGCCAGACGCGTCCGAGATGTCCGCGGTCATGGACCGCGCCGCGCCGTGGATGCAGCGCAGCGTGGCCGCGGTGTGCGAGCATCGCGCCGTGGCGATATGAAGCTCGCTGGGGTCCTCGACGAGGGGCAGCAGGGAGTCCGACCCCACCGCCAACTTCACGTTGAAGTCGCGGATCGTGGTGTCGCCGTTAGGGATCCGCAAACCCGCTGTGAGCAGGTTTGCACGCTTGCCGATCCGATCTTGCGAGATGACGCTCGCAATAGCGCGCGCGGCACGCGTGTCTCGCTTGCGCCACTCGTGCTGCACGAAACATGGACGCGTGTCTTGACAGCAATGGGGGAATGGCGCAAGCCGAATGGCTCTCGCACGCGAGCGCCTTCGACGTCTCGTCGTCGTCCCAGCCCTTCGCCACCAGGATGCCGAGGAGGTCGCGCACGTCGTATGGGACGAGGCCCGCGCCGTCCCTGTTGTCAGGGTGCACGGCCGCCTTCGTCGCGTGGACGTGCTTCGACTCGCAGAGGTCGAGGGCCTTGATTGCGCTCAGGATCCGAGCCTGGAACGCACTGACGCCCTCGACCTCGTTGCCGATGTAAAACGACTCGATCTGCTCGTTGATGAGCGGCGCCAGCGCGATGGCGCGCTCCTCCTTCGAGCGCTTGGACCTCGCGCCAGCTACACTGGCCTTAATTACACATGCGCGCGTCGCGTGACACTCGGGAGCAAAGCTCGCCATTGGATTATGCGAGCACGCTCGCCAACATTGCAACGCCACAACAACATACCGCGTCACGCGAGCAAAGCTCGCCGCTGATTATGCGAGCACGCTCGCCAACATTGCAACGCTACAACAACATACCGCGTCGCGCGAGCAAAGCTCACCGCGGAAACTGAGGCGGATACCTCCCACGCGGCCTTGACTGCGACGTTCGACAGCGCCATAGCGATCGCGACGCGACTTCTACAGCTCGGGCAAGGGCGGCAAGGGCGGCAAAGGCTGCGGCACTCGGACCAACACTGCTACAAAATAACAGAAAACAGAAAATTGCAAACTGCATTTGGGGAAAAATGCAAAATAAGCAGAAAACAGAAACTGAAATTGGGGAAAAACTCTGTTTGAAAACACAGAAAACATACAACTGACATCGGAAAAAATCAAAAGCATGAAAAGTGCATTGGCGATGTTATAATTTAGATTATGATAGTTATCGAATAGTTTGCTGCACGTTGAGGTCGGATAGGCATAGGATAGTTTATGGATAGTTGCGCAAACTATTCATAAATTATCATATGACTATTCTACATGCAATCATAAACTATTCATAATCTGTTCGATATCTATTCTGAGATAATTTGGGGCGGGCCTCAAAGCAGGTCCCGGCCCCAGCGCGCCTCCGTGGCCTCCCAGATGCTGAACCTAGCTTCAAAACAGCGAACGAAGCCTGGAAGTCGCCCAAGGAGGGCTCCAAGACGCCCCGAATGGTCCTGATAGGCAACCGGCGTCGTCGTCAACATCGTCAACATCCTCGCCATTATCTCCCTCCTTCTCCTCCTCTTTATCGCCACGTTCTATAGATACTCGCCCCTGCCCTTCCTTCGCGCCCCCCCCCCGCGAACCTGCTCGCCGCGCTCTCCCCCTATTCCCTATTCATTCCCCCACTGTGCTCCTACTCCTCCTCATCCGCCTCTTCCTCTGGTCCCCCTCTTCATCTTCCTCCCCGTGCTCCGCGCCCCCCTCCCCGACCTAAGGGTCGGCGACGCCGGCCGTAAGGCGCAAGCAGATTCCAGAACGGGACTGGGGGACTGGCTGATTTATCCGATTGCGATTCGCCCGCTCCGACTCATTCGATCCTCGGTTCGGGTGAACCGCGACAGGATGAATAAGACTGGATGAATTAGTGAACGGATGAGTTCGCCCGGATGAGTTAGTCACCGGATGAACTAGCCCGGGCGAGTGAGGCACCGGATGAACTAGACACCCGATGAATTTGGTATCAGATGAGCTAGGCACCGGATGGGTAAGGCATGATGTAGGCACCGGATGAATGAGGCACTGGATGAACTAGACACCCGATGAATTAGGTACTGGATTAAATGGGCACTGGACGAGTTAGGCACTGGATCAGTTAGGCACGAGAGTCAAGATGAAGTTGGCACCAGATGAAAAATACGCACAGGAACGTTAGGCACGGGATGAATTAGGCACCGCATGAATTCAGCCACTGGAAGAATTTGGCACCAGATGAGTTCGGCACTGGATGAGTTTGGCGCCGCGAGAGTTTCGCACTGGAGGAATATCGCACTGGAAGTGTTTCGCACTGGAAGAATATGGCACAGGAAGGGTTCGGCAACAGGATGAGTTGGGCACCGCAGGAAGTTCGTTTTGGAGGAATATGTTACTGAAGGGGTTCGGCATGAGAAGAGTTTGGCACTGTGCATTAGGCGTGCCGGGTGAATTACGCTGAGAACTACGGGGTGAATTTAGGGTGCCGGGTGATTTTGCCATGACGGGTGAATTGGGGCTTTCGGTGCCTTACGGGCTTCAAGTGAATTATACACCGCGAGTGCGTTTGGCACGGGGGTGAGTTCAGGGATTCAGAGAGCGGAACCAGCGGGGGAGGCGAAGGGTGAATTCTGCAGGACCGCGTGAGGTTTTAAAAAAGGTTGTCAGATGCAAACTTGCTTGACTACAACACGGTTTGTAATCAAACAACTTTCCAGACTAGCTGCCACTAGGTGAGCCAGGCACTGGGCGAAGGAAGCTTGTCAGAGGAGTTAAGCACTGAACGAAATAGGGGCCCGATGAGATAGGCATCGGATGATTTAGACACCGCATGAGTCAGGCACCGGATGTGCGAGCCACCAACTGAGTTAGGCACTGGATGAGTTAGGCGCTGGAAGAGTGAGGCACCAGATGAGTTAGGCACCCGATGAGCTTGTCACGGGATGAACCAGGGCCCAGATGAGTCATGCACTGGATAAATTAGGCATCGGATGAATTGGGAAGATGAGCGTGGTACTGGATGAATTAAGCACCGGATGAATTTGGCACCGCTTGAATTCGAGACCGGATGGGCGTGCCAGCAGGTTAGTTTGGCACTGGAGAAGTTCGGCGCGGCAGGAGTATGGCACCACAGGAGGTCGGCACCGGAAGACCTTGGCACTGTCTGAATTAGGCGTGCAAAATGAATTACGCTTACTCGGTGAGCTGTGTGTGCCGGTGCCGGATGAGCTGGGGGCACTGGGTGAGTCACGGGCTCCGGGTGGTTTGATCATGACGGGTGAGTTGGGGCTTTCGGTGCGTTGCCGGCGCTAGTTGGGTTAGACTCTGCGAGTACGTGTGGCACTGGGGTGAGATCGGGGATTCAATGGGCGGCACTGAGGGGGTCACGCACCGGGTGAATTGTGCGGAACCGAGTGGGTCCACAACGGGGTTGTTGGATGCAACACTGCTTGACCACAAAACGTTTTGTAGTCGAGCGAATTTCCAGGTCAGCTTGGGGCTGGCACGGCTACACATGCGAACCTCTCTGCAAGCCTTGCGAAATTTTCCCCGTTTTGGCTCTGCGTTCGTGTTCGATAGGGAAAGGCCAGGCTATTGAACTGTTAATTGTGTTCGGGGAGGTGCCGGCGGCGGAGGATGATGAGGATGGGGACGAATCGAACAGGACGAAGGGATGAATTCGGCAACGGATGAGTTAGGGCGCCAGATGAGTTCGTCACAGGATGGGTTCGTCACCAGATGAGTTAGGGCACCGGATGAGTTAGGGCTGCGGATAAATTAGGCACTAGATGAGCCAGGGCTGAGTAAGTTTAGTTAGGCACCGAATGAATTAGGCACCGGATTAGGTAAGGACAAGAGGAATCAGTTACCAGATGAATTTGACCGGATGAATTAGCTATCAGACGAGAGAGCCAGGATGAGATAGGCATCGGGCAACCTCGCACACAGGAGTTTTCCCTGCAAGTTTGTATCATCGGCGAACTGGATTGTTCTTGCTTTCGCTCCTGGCAGCGTCTGTCCTCAGCGTTCCTTCCTGGCGTCTCCCAGCGGGAACTAGGGTAAGTATACGTAACTTAGCGCTAGTTAAAGTCAGTGGTTGTGATGCATCGTCAGATAAGCTGTCGCTAACGTTTTGGCTTGCTCACCAGGGCCCACTGGGCAACGCCAGGGCTTTCAAAATTTGCTCCCCTACTACACAACTTTTGGCAATCAAGCAAATGTTTTTCTCCTCTCATCCTCTTCGTTCTTCGACTTGCCGGCTCGAGTCTGGAACGATGTTTTTTGTTTCCGTTGCACTCGGATGAGATAGGCATCGGATGAGTCGAGCACCCATGAATTTGGTTGGCCGAATCTAGGGCACCCAATGAGTGACGGACAGAATGGATTCGTCGCAGGATAAGTTAGGGCACGAAACGAGTTAGGGCAACGGACGAGTTAGGGCGCCGGTTGAATTAT